TAAAATATATTGTGTTTCATAACTATGCATTCATCAAGAGCACCATCTTATTGGGATTTTTTCTCTGAATTTCCATGAAATATTGTTTCAAATAGCTTCAATGATCTGTTTCTAATGTAATAAAAATAGACAGGTGCGATATGACATATTGACTGACGTCATGTTGACTGTATACTTATTAATCATGACCCAACGAAAATCGTTTTTTTGTTGTTTTCGTTATTTTGAACAGAGTTATTGCTTTGCTAATATTTATACAATATAGAATCAAAGTACACGAACTTAAACAAGTCTTCGTTATTATTTTGGCAACAGAATAAAGCATTTAAAATTTGTTGTCTATTTCTTAAAATATTTTTTTCTCAAAATTAACAAGATGTAGCAGTATGATTCGGTCTTTTTTTTTCTGATTGGAAATATCAATAGACCATCCAAAATATATCCCTATTTATGCAATCGAATTATTATGACATTGATTGTAGCGCTAGAATACTATTCTAACATACAATATTACTACTGTACACCTCTTCGATTTCATTTTATTGTGAATCTTCTACAAAAACAATCGATAGTAACGAATATATCCGAAATGACCAAAGATCTTCGTATTTGTGATGATTATCTTCAATTTCAAAATCATTTAAAAGATTTAAGAAAATTAGATGATTTAATTATAAATACACTTAATACAACAGTTCTTACAGCTACATTTCGTTCTCAAGGTTCTGATGCAGCCAAACAATGTCAAAAACTTGGTGATGAAGTATTTTAATTATGTTTTTGAAATCTTTTCTTTAAATTTTATATGAATATTTAGATTGCTTCACGTGCAACATATCGTAGTGAATTAATTTCTTCTTGTTTATCACGTACAAATGATTTAATAGCAGAAAATGATTCGAATGATAGTCATCGTAAAGCATTAATATTTCAACGACGACAATTACAAAATGAACGTAATGTCGAAGAAATTGTTCGAACAAATACTGAGAAAGTAAATCAAACACAGAAAAGAAAACATTTTTTTCTACGTTATATATTTTTGTTATTTTTTTTTTTAATTTAGGCATTTTATGAACGTTGTCGAGATTTTTATACACCTTCTAAAACTGCCTCAACATTTTCATCATTGAAATGATTTAACACGAATATAATAAGAAGCAAAGAGAACATTAGTGTGTGTGTTTGATTGTTATTACTTAGGCTGATTGGCAACTCAGTAATGATGTTATTAGTATAGTTTGAGATATTGTTCTCATTGTTTTTTCTTTGTTTTATATGATGTCACTCTTGTTACCATAACTGATCTTTCTGTGCTTTCAGATTGAAATGAATATGATGTTTCAGTTTTTGTTTCACTTATAGGTAATAAAAAGACTCTAGCCATCTTTATTTCATTTTAATTATTATTGTTTGATTAGTTTATAAAGATGTCTGAAGTCTTTTAATAATATGATAGTATTGAAAAAAAAGAATTATCTAAAATAGTTAACGAAATTATATTAGTTTATTTTTTTTGTTTTTTTCTGAATGACGTAACAGTCGTACAAAATTTTCCGGGTTCTCATATGTTTAATTCGTTTAAATTTATCATAAGTTTGTATAACTTTTTATTAGTCTGTCTACTTTTCGGATATATAAATGTTAAAGTCCTGAAGAAAAATTTCAAAGTTCTGTTAAAACTCTCGAATTAACACTTGCATAGTAATTCTAATTGATTGACATTGATATTTGAGAATCTATTATTTTATGACAAGATAACTCTCAAATAAAAATTCAATTGATTATGAATTTTCTTGTATGAGCTAACAAGGGAACCTTATCAGATAACTCTTTTCGACTTCAATAGTTTTTCTACCTATACAAGATATCCTAAAAGTCATTTGTTAAATAAAACTTTAATAACTCTTCAACGATTGAAGCGATTCACATAAACTTTTCATCATTTCATAGGATATGCTTGGAAGTTTTATTTTATATGATGTCACCCTTAAGTATTGTTTCCAATGATCAGCATCTACTCTAAGGCATAAAACCAATGAATACAGCTAATTTCAAGATTAATATGATCTTATGATCGATTCTTATTAATAACAGCGATGTTGAAACAGACTTTATGCATCGGCTTTCTACAAATGTTTTGAAACAAAGTTTTATATCTTAGTGTTAATGCCGATCATTTGTAATAATAATTATAAGTACAATCATATGAAGTAAAACTTCCAAGAATATCTTATGAATTGATGAACAGTTGATTGAATCATTGAAGAAGTATTGCACTTGTATGTCACAACTGACTTTTGAAGCACTCTGTACATATTACATAGTGTCCTAACTAAAATCCTAAAATCATTTTAGATTCCTATTAAGAATTGACTAAGCTATTGAATTTTTAATGTCTATTTTCTAGTGGCTAATATACGATCTCAAGTTTTTGAAAAAATTTTATCTTCGAATTTTGACCTGAAGCTTTGTGCATATAAAGACTTCAGTTTGATTAACTTCCAAAAAAAATTCAGAATTTTTGACCAAAGTCAACTCGAGATATGTAACCTTCAGAATATAGGTCTTTTTCCATGGATAACATACCAACATGCATTTTATTGAAAGCTTCGTATTTCGAAAAGACTACTCAAAATCTCTGAACTTTTTTATGAAAGTTAGTCTAGTAAAGTTCTCTATCTGCGCAAGGTTTCAAATCAAAATTGAAAAATACGATTTTTCCTAAAACCTGAGGTCGTACAGGAGCCTCTTAAAAATAGACATGTTAAAAAATCGCCAATGTAGTTAGATCTCAATAGGAATCCAAACCATTGTAGGATTTTTATTAGAAAATTATTTAATATCTATGCACAAAAAATTATTGATATTAGAAGAATGCATCTGAATAGGCTTCCTCGTAAGTTATGAACATAGTTCTAATATGAGCATTCTTTTGAATGACATGTATTATTCCTTTTCATTTTCAGTTTCTTATCAGATTTGAAAATGTGGAAGTTCGAAGGCGAAAAAAGGTAACTACGTAAGTTCCATTTATCTGTAAGATTACTTCTGTCTTAATTGGAAAGAATAATTTGTAATTTATTTTTTTTTATTAGTAAATTTTTTTATCGTTGAATTTACATTGAATATTAGAAAGAAAAAACAATACGGAATATATTGAATTGATCGTTTAGTTTCTAGAAAAATAAACGTTTTGAATTGCCGCCCAAATTTATATTTCTTATACCAATTTGTATGAGCATTTTGTGGACGTGCCGACAACAATATTCTCAATTAATTGTTCGACATTTAACTTCACAGATCATTCGACCAATAATAATGGGCAATCTATTTACCAAAAATCGTAAGCCACCCTACCCTGGTACTACAGATGTTTATGTAAGATTTTATTAAATTTAAACATGAACTATTATTATATTTATTATGAATCAGAGAACAGCCGTATCCAATGAAAAAATTCCTTGGAATGTCGATTGGCCTGATTATGAACCAACTGAATATACATCAGAAAAAGTTTTGCAAAACCCACCATGGGCTGATGATCCTAATGCGTAAGAATGTTAAAACTTTATTATGTTCTTTATAAATTTATTTTTATAGAAAAAAGATTAAAAATTATAATGCATTGGATGGACAAATTGATAGAAGAAGTTTTACGGGTAAGTATGAAATTGATCAAGAAACAAATCGACCAAAAAATCCTCGAGGTCGTACTGGATGTATGTATTGAAATTCCAGTATTTTGACTTTAATTTATATGATAAACATTGTTTTTAGTGTCAGGTCGTGGTTTACTTGGTCGATGGGGACCGAATCATGCTGGTGACTCGATTATAACACGTTGGTCAAAAGATCAATATGGTAGCAAACAAAAAGTTTTAGAAATTCTACTCATCACTCGAAAAGATACTGGCAGTTTAGCTTTACCTGGTGGTATGATTGATCCAGGGTAAATGTTTATATGTCGCACTATAAAAGCTTTTTTGTCAGCTCTTAGGATAAATATTCAACGGCTGATTTTAATACATTTATTTAAAGTACTGTCTTTCAGCATCAACACGATTGTACATTTGAACAAACTAGTTTTCAACACCGTTTTTGAAATCTTCTTTCGTGAGACTGTTTATGGCTTGTTCTAAAGCAATTAATATTATGTTGTCGTCGTCGAACTGAATTCAATATAGTTGATTTTTGGCTTTTGAGAATAAGAAGTCACAGGAACTTAGATTTGAAGATGAGAATTTAAAGATTGCTTTGCCGACTTCGCTATGATACAGTTTTGAAGACTTATGTCTACAGAGTAGTAGACATACAAAATTGTGTTTAGGATAAAATCAGTTTTTAAAAGCATCAACTTGATTACAACTAGATTTCAAAAGAAAAAGCTACTATTCTTTTGTCTGCGCTTTTGTTTGAACAAACTTCAATTGCACATGGTTCATTTTTGGACTCTCAAACTTTTGATTTCTTTTTTTTTTTTGGATCATAATAATAGAATCATGATTTGTCACCAGTTACAATGTTGAATACACGACAAGATTGACTTTCTTCAAATCTCTTCGATGAAAGACGACAATGTTTGATACGCTACTATTATTGAATGTTGATTAACTAGTGTGGTATTTCACTGAGCACAAGCTTTGTAAACTTCAATTAGTTGTGAATAGTGAAATTGATTGCTGGTGAACTAATACTCAAGGTATTTTCTATTTGTTCGTATGTTGAATGGGAATCACGGTCAATTATTGTTTGCACAGCATCATTCAGTTGTTCATTAACAGTTGCTCGAGGACGACCTAAATGAACAGCAGCTTTAACACTAAAACTTATTTGCTGGAAGTCATGAAACCAATGGAAGCCCTCTGCAGTTTGAAGTTGCTTGGTCCTTTCCTGCTTATACTAAATGAGTATGGCTGTCCTTGTATGTTAGATCCATTTTATAGTCATGTGAAAGTAGAGTGTGAAATTATTCATGTGAGATTTAAAAAATTCATATCGAAAATGACGTGAATGTGATCTGAAAGATATGAAATAATATAACGATATGTAAGACGTGAAAGTCTGAGATTTTTCACATAATTCTAAGTATGTCTGAGACTTTTAATAGAATTCTTGTCATTCAATTACAACTTTTAGAAGAACTGAACGACAAAACTTTTGTAGTGCCGTATGCATTATATATTTTATCCATTTAACTGATAAGTTTTTGTTTAGTGAACAGGCATCAGCAGCAATTAAACGGGAATTTATTGAAGAAGCTATGAATTCGAATCCTGATGCTGCCGCAAAAATTGAAGACTTATTTCAATTAGCTACTTCAGTAAAAAAATATATATATGTTATTTCAAATCATCTAAAATGCATTTATTGTTTTTAAATAGGCCTACAAAGGTTATGTTGATGATCCAAGAAATACAGGTAAAAAAGCTATTATTGCAATCCCTGCAGAATTAGAATATGAAACATCATGCAGATGCTCTTGCTAATCACTGGAAGATTGTTTATTCTATTCATTTTGAAACACATTTCTCCATCACCTTTTTTACTTAATCCTTCAGAAATGCAATCAGCAAATAGTAACGAGACGTTATTGATATATGTCTGTGATCGTATATCAACAATGTCTATCACGATCTGTGATGGTCTCTGCTTTTCATCTATTAGCTTGTATTTACTTCTACTTGGCGTCTGCCATAGTCTGTTAGGCAGGAGGGGAGAGGAAGTCCAAATTTTTTATTCGTCGGCTTCAATACTTCATTTAGATCATGTTTCATAAAATTGAATTATAGTGAAAGAAAAGCCTATTCTCTTCGTTTATTATAGACAATTCCTGGATGGAAACTGAAGCAATGAATATGCATGATGAAACGGGTGAATTAACAAAAGGTTTGCAATTAGAAGCAGGTAATTATTTGATTTTTTTATTGATTTTTAATTGATTCAATTTTTTAATTAATTCATCTTGAATTTGAAGAGAACCATGATATTGTTTCTTGAAATTGTTCAATAAAAATGAGTTTTTTATTGTTCTTTTTGGGTTAGCATTCATATTTGATGGTTTATTATTAAATTCAGGTGATATATTTGATGATGTTGATAATTGTTGTGCTTTAAGATATTGTACCATTTCACGATATAAATCAGATCGACCAACTTGACTAATTAAATAAACAAGTTCATCAAGAGTCATTCGATAACGACGTGGCGGAAGGCAAGGTTTTGTTTGATGTGAAACATAAGATGAATACAGTGGATTTTGATAATAAGATGGTGGAATAAATGTTTGTTGAAAAGGACTAGGTGAAATTGGCTGAGGTAAAGGAAGTGTTGATTTTGTATATGACGGAGAATTATTTGGTGATAATTTAGGTGTTAAACTTGATTTAAAATTAGGATCTTTTAAATAATTATCGAGTAAAAGTTCCCATGATGTACGAGGTGGTGGTGGTTTAATAAGTGATTTCATTCGAGATAAATTTTGCGATGGATTAAATTCTAAAGTATTTTCTACCAACTTTTTGTTCGTTTTCTTGTTAATCGTATCATCATATGCAGACGTTTTAGAAAAATATAAAAATAAAATCTATTAATGATAGTTGATTATTCCTAGATCGAAATTAATCATAAAGGAAATATTTAAAGAACTCATTTTATTCATGTAATAATACAAACAAAATACAATTTAGAAAATTAATGCGCGTTTTTCTTTTTTAATTTGTCTTTTTCTTTATAGGCGATGATGCATCACATGTAAAATGGGTTCGTCTTGATCGTCATTATAAGTTACATGGATCACATGAATCTATTATACAAATGGTTATTAAACAGCTTGAAGCATATGAATATTGGAGTGATAATTAAAAATCAGGTTGATCAACTATTGTCACGAACAATAAAAAAACTCATTGATATTTTTACTCTATATAAAACTAATCTTTCTTTTTCATATCTTTTTTTCCTTTTATTTTTATTATTCTCACTTTCAGTCAATCAGTTAAAGGTAGTTGAATATCATATTTTTGAAACTAACGATATCAAAAAACACGAATTTATCATGTCAACAACAAAAAAATTGTTTACAAAATCAATAAACCATATCTATGAATAACAATATTTAAGCTATTAAATTTTAGAAAATATTCATAAAAATTTGATATTATGATCTGAATAGAGCATACAATGACGTATCTTTTGAAAAAAATATCACCGTTTTTATCATAGAGTTATAGGCAAAACAAGGAACATCATAAACTTTTTGTCACAATCGGTAATAATAATTTGCGTTAATGAATCTTAATAAACTCAACATATCTTCGAAACCACCACTATTATTTGCTCTGTAAAGGACTTTATAATAACATCCTATTTGATCCTTACGCTTACCTGTTCGTTTTATAGTTTTATTCTTGAGGTTTGACACGAATATAAGTTGCATTATCCTATTCAAATGTCCATAGATTTCATACTAGGGCAATTGATCCTCTCCTGTGTATTGTTTATTCTGTTTGCATTTACCTATTTATAACGAATCCAAAAAAAATAAGACATGATTTCTCGGTTGATCTTTTGAAATGAAACATTATTATGACCTACCAATGACATTCATACCTTCCAATGTGATCATTTTTCTTTAACTGTAGAAAATAGCATATTTCCAAATAGTTAATAATTCAGAAATACTATTTTCTACGAATTGAACCGTAAAAGCGATTTTATTATTTTTTAAACTATTTTGTATCAGAATCTAAATTTAGTAAGTTAGGTACTTGAAAACAATAAAAGTCATTCAAAAATCACTCATATATTTCTTCGCATTTGATAGCTCAGATCTATGATTTCGGCACCGGGATTCATGCATTTCCGACAGATTATTTTCGTCAGAAAGAGGCTCTTTACAACTGTAAGTGGACAGAGCCAACCACTGTATGTGATCAACAGCTTCCTGTTTCCAAGTTCTTACTTTTATCCCGACTTTTCCTACCAGAAATAATCTGTATTTCGTGACGTAGGATGATAAAAAAATACTTAAAGAGTGTTTACCATAATTTATTTTTTTTCGGGTTTTATTTGAACCATCAGATTTATATGAATTTATCTATTGGTAGTATATAATATATTGTAATTATATCTAAAGAGAATTATACTTTTAAAAAGTCAACCTTTCACTCTTAGCTAGACATCTGCTTTCAGCCTAGTTTCTTTCGTTTGGTGATTATATTTATATATAGGAATTCATAGAAAACTTCCAATAATTCCCAAAAATAAAACTCGCAAGCTATTATGAAACAGAACACGAATAATAACGAAATAAATTCATTATTTTCTGTAGCACGTTTGTATTTATTATTATTCCAAAAAAAAAGAAAAAAAACAAAAGAAATTATGTAAAGTTCACTGCTTTGTTTTTGATGCTCGTTTAACAGCTGTATCATGATTTTTAATTAATTCACGATATTTTTCTGATTTAACAAATTTATCATATTCTCTATGCATGTTTTCATCATACGAACATAATTCAATAATAATTGATTGTTTATTTAAAACAATTTTTAATGGTTTTTCCATTAACTTTTGTTTTGTTTCAATTGTATCACAATCAACAACGAATTGATTTGATATATCATTTGAATTTAATATACAATTTAATGGAACGAATTCAATTGATAATATTGGTTGTTCACTATTAGAATTTTCTTTTGTGGATGAATTTTTTAAACGTTCCATAAGAGCATCAAATAAACGTTGATGATCAATACTGATTGTTACATCTGGTGGAAGAATAGCTAATAAAGCATTTGGTTTTTTCTCTGGTGGTCCATTAAAATACCAAACTTTACGATTATTTAAACGTTTTTTTAATTTTTCATATGTTTCTACATTCATTTGACCGTTTTCATCGATTTCATCACGTGGTACATCATAATTAACGCCACCGGGAAAATAACTAAAATGAAAATAGGATAATTGTTTTTCTTTTTCTTTTGAGCGCCTATTGTTTCACATTACCTGATATCTAATGAATTAGCTTTGACATCTTCTAAAAGTTTATTGTGAACAAGCTCATTAACTAAATCTGATTTACGTAATGGATCTGATCGTGTAACAAGTGTTATAAAACAATCATTATATTCACGTGGTATTGTTGTTAATGGTTTATCATTATCAATTTGTCTTATAACAAAACGCATTGGATTTTCAAGTTTAACTAATTCAGCTTTATGTGTTCGAATTTTATCAGCATATTCTTCAATGATTTTTTCGATATTTGTTACTTGACCTTTTGTTACAGAAGCCGAATCAAAAACTAAATATATACATATGCAAAGAAAAAAGTGGAATTTTACTTTTGTATTTTATAGTTTAATGAATAGATTACGATTTAACTCAAGAAAAGCAAAATACTGCTTTTGATGTGATAGGAACTATACAATTTTCTTTTTACATAATTTCATTAGAATTTGTTGTCATTTAAAAATTGAACGTTCTAAAAAACTTACAAATTTTTGGTTTATATTCAACAAATTTAGTTGTTAATTCTTGATGTATTTCGTCTGATGTCATTCGTTGATGTGTATTTTTCATTCGACGAAAATATTCCATAAGATGATCAGCATCAGCATCAGATAAATTTTTATAAAAGGTTTTTGATGGCCGTATTGTGCCCAAAATAAGTAAACGACGGGCATTTTCATTTAATAAACTTGGTCGACGTTCACGTTTTGAATTATCATCAATGCCATATTCGTCAGCATAATCGAAATCCGATGGAGATGATGTATTTTCTTCAGCAGTTATTGGTGTTGGATATTTTTTAATTTGTTTTGATTTATGTTCATGTTCAATTTGATCATCATTATCAGAATTAAAAGAATTTCGACGATATTGATATGATTGTATTGTTGAATCAACTACTGTAGGCTTTGTTCGTTCATTTGTATTAACTGTTCGACTATGTCGATTATCATTTACATTAGAAGAACTTGATGGTATCCGTGGTTGATTTTGGGACATATCATTAAGATTTATTACAGGTACATGTAGTAAATCACTACGCTGAGATGTTCGTGCTGATTGTAAACCTAATAAAAACGAAATTATACAATTAGATTGCGTTCAAATCTATCTTTTCTAGCGACTATAATATACAATAAGACAAGTTTAAGCATAGCGAGCAAGTATGATAACCATACCCTTACGAACAGTATAATAATTACGATCATGACACATACACCTTAAATGTCTCTGACATCTCCGAACATTTCTTAATCTTGCTGGAAAAAATTAGAATTTTGTTGTTTGTTTTTTTTTTGTAAGTAATGATTGAAAAAAATTTTAATTACATGTAAACCTTACCATCGGTACTTTTGCTGGAACTTAATCGTTGATCAGTTATATTAGTAGGTGATGGAGAATGATTATCTTCATCATTTTTATTCTCTATTGATGAACGACGATCATCTTTGTGAGAACGTCGTTTTGATTCATGTCCTGTAATTTTACTACCAGAATTACGAGCAGTTGGTTTTGGTACTTCATCTTGACCAGTAGCCTGTTGTTGACCCAATTGATAATCAATAACAGAAAGAATTTTAGATTGACTTGATGTTGGCATGTATGAACTGTTTATGCGAACAGAAAAACGACTGATGATAAGAAACAAAAAAAACAAAGTATATATAAACTTACTTGGTGACAAAAATTTAAGAATAAGAGAAGAAAAAACAAACGCACGATTATTTAAATCGACGTTAAAATGTCATAATGGAGTCGATGAAAATGGATAGGCAAATGTTTTGATGCTTTTTTTTTGCAAATTTAACGAACACGAACAACGATGATTACTTTGCAAAGTTGTTTTTTCGTGTTCTATAAGCAGAAAAGATGTAAATGAATGAGTTAGGGATTGTATTGAGATCAGAACTGTAGCAACAACACTCCAATCTCGTTTATTCTTTATTCTTTTTTTTTTCTTGCTCTTGTCTCTTCTCACCTTGCCATTGTGTTAGCGTATATTGTTGACATAGGGCAAGAAGAAGAAAATAAAAAATGATGACTAGGAACCATATCAATGATGACAGTTGCAAAATATCGATAGAAACAGGAAATGACAACTTTTTCATTCATTTTTTTCTTTCGCTTTCGAAAAGGAAACGCGTTATAGATTTTTTTCTTTTCTACCCTTAGAACAAGATTAAATCCTTGGTCAATCGAACAAAAGGATATTTATTTACTCTTGAGGATCGGCGACCATGAAAAGTAATCTTTGTTCTTGAATCGATGTCAAGAGTAAAAGTAAAAAAAAGAAAAAAAAAAAGAAATGGTTTGTTACTTCAAGTTGATTGAAATTCAATAAGACAAAAAAAATGAAGTGCTCCAAATCTCAATTCTTATCTTTTAATACGATGACATATAACTCTTATAAATCATAAATCTTTATCCAGTCATAATGAAATGTTATCAAGGTACATTTGCAGATCACTAGGAGACTGCCGCATCCATACTCTTTGATGTGCTCTGTCAATTAGACGAATTAGTGTAGAGAGTATCATCAATCGGCAGAAGTATGTGAATCTGAATTCGTCCATTTATTGAGCTTGATTATACAGATTTGAACAAACAGCGAAAAAAACCTCATACATAGTACACTTTCTTTTTGTTTCAACAATTTATTGATTCATAGAAAAGTTATATTTAAAAAAATTATTACTACAATGTTGAAGATACAATTAGAAAAGTTTGACGACGACCATCATTATAAAAGAAGAAAATTGAAGAATAAGAAAGAAAAATCTGAAGGGGACACCTCGAGTCAATCGAAACAGACAAAGAAAATATATGTATGCGATAGAATAGAGTGAAAT